ACAAAACAATCCTCTCAATGTACAATAAAGCACTGTGTTTGCACACAATACTTTTCAAAATCTGCATTTCATATGAGAAAGAATTGGCCACATTTATTCAACAAATATTAACCCTTTGAAACCCCATCTTGGCATTCTTTACTTATGTGAGCAGTATTTTAGCAACTTCCCCAATCACTCTGCAGCTCCTTAAGGAAATAAAACCCAACTGCAGGAATAAAACTTCCACAATAAATCTAAATACTTGAAAATATATCAATACATAATCCAATACTTGTTTCCTCCCATACCAGAGATTCAAAGGCTCTTTAGCTTTTGCTCTTACCTATTACCACTGCAGCTTCCTGTGCCTCTTCTGACAGCCTGGCTGTTCAGACTTTTCAGCAGTGTCTGTGTTTCTGTATAAGATCTCCAGGGCCAATGGGTGCAGGTTTCTGCTCCTGCAGGGCCTGATGTTCTCCCTGAAAGGCACCTCAGTGTTTCAGTCTCTCCCTTTCTTCAGCTGGAAGGGTTTTCTCAGTTATTTTCAAGACAACTACATAGCACAGAAACAAAAGAGCCAATTCAACCACAGGTTTTGCTTCGGATTATTTTCCCTGAAGGGTCACCCCTGTTCTTGCTCTTTTCTCCCCTGCTCTCAACCCCAGTAGGATAAACAAACCTCCTCTGTCTCCCCCTTCCCATCCCTGCTCTCCCTGAGCAGTGCTGGGCCTGCTGTTCAATGAGGTTCAGAACTGAAACAAGGATTCCTAAGGGATTTTTTCTTATAATCCATATTTCTAAAACTAAACTCTATAGCACATAAGAGTTTTTCTTTCCCAGTTTGAGGTAGAAAATCATAAAAGTGTATGAACATGAACTATTTGGTCCGAAGTTTGTTTTACTTGCTTTAATGTTCACAGCCTCTGTTGCTACTCTGAATTATCCCTCTGCATTATTTTTTCACTATTTAATGACTTTTTGTACCATTAATTTTTACTATATCCACCCAGCTATTAAACCTTAACAACTTAAAATCACTATGTCAATAGGACCTTTGTGCCTTTATTCGTTTTTGAATCTCCATATGGCAATCTGGCTCCTGGGCACCCAATATACCTTTTTTCAGTACCTAATCAGTGCACTTATTCCAACCCCTCAAGCCTGTTCATAATTCTTATTTAAACTATTGTGTTTCAGTAGCTCTTTGATCTGAACACAGTCCACCAGTGCAGCCCCATCAGAGAATCAGAGGGATTGTTCCAGTCCTCCTTGCTTTACGTTACCCTGCAAGTAAATTTGGTTTGCTTTGACTTTCTGCTCTTTTCCAAAGCTTTTTCCAAAACTTGTCTACTTTTCCTTGTGCTGTAATCCCATTATTTTCTTTGTGCTGAATCATTTGTTTCCAAAGTTGTCTCCTATCTGGAAATAGGGAACTTCAATAATTTTCCTCAGACAGATGTGCATTTTTTCCAAGCTGAATAGTCTCAAATATTTTGGAGTGTTTTTAGTTTCTCTCTGTGGTTTGCTATTTCTCTGAGCTCCAGTCTCTGTGAACCATCACTCAGCTCCCCCAGCTAACATCCCTGAAATGTCTGTTATTCCACTTTAAAGAGGATTCATTGGATGACACAAGGGAGGATATAAATATCAGCATATACCAGCACTGTTCTCAGAAAAGGTGCTGATGTCCTGCTTGTTTCTGAGATGTACTTCAAACTGACTTTTTGGATCCTCCATGGATTTTGCCATTTGGGATGACCAATATAATGCACTGCTCACTTTATCATCCATGTTCCCTGCGGGTTAACACTTGCAGGTACCTTCAGATCAGCAGTATCTGGGCTTAAAATCAGCCTGAATTTGAAAGGCACAATGTGCTTGCAGCACCCATTCAAGTATCTAAAAATTAAGCCAGTTTTACTGGCATTGATGTTGGATTACACGTTGTTACTGTGTACTCCCAGGGACAGGCAGGACCAGCTGGCAGCGCCCTTTATTCTTTACCTTGCTGCTCAGGAAGGAAGCAGCACAGTCCCACCTGTCACTGCACAGCATTCTTTGCCCCCTCTTTGTCTGCTCTGTGTTTCAGCCATGCCATGCTGGAATGCTCCACTGCAGCATCCTGGCCATTATTGTCCTGATGTGGTCCAAGACCTCAAGAAGCTGCAGTAAAAAATCATCCTTTGCCATATCTTATTCAGGCACTAGAGGGACATGCCTGTCCCAGGGTGGTCCAGTCAATTTGTGCTGTGTTCCTGAACTGTTCCTGTGGTCACTGCCTGTAATGAATCATCTCAACTACACTCTGCAACCTAACAGGTCAATGGGAATGGCTTTAAGTTTAAAAAGGTAAAGGTGCAGCTTTGTCACTGGATCGAGTTGTTCAGAGACATTGTGGATCCCCATCCCTGGAAGTTCAAGGCCAGGTTGGGTGGGACTTTGAGCAATCTGATCTAGAGGAAGGTGTCCCTGCCCATGGCAAGGGGTTGGAACTGGATGTTCTTTAAGGTCTTTTAGAACCCAAACTATTCTGTCATTTTATGATCTGGCCAAGCTCCTGAACTCCTCAGCTCTGTGAAGGACCCACTGGACAAGTCCACAGCAACCAATGGAAGTGATTCCAGGTTTCTCCCTGCCAGACCAGCTCCCAACACCATCTCAGTCACAGGAGCAATAAGTGCCAAGGATCCAAAGGCTCCAGGCCCACAGCACTCAGATATCTCTGCCATCCACAGCTTAGGCAGGGTCACCATGCTTTGTCAAGGGCTGTTACAGGCCTGCATGTGCAAAAATTGGGAATGAGGCTCTGGCTTCCCACTCAAGGTCTTCCTTCTTTTTTTAAGTACAAAGGCTCAGTAAAGCCTTTGCATTTAGACTTTATTCTCTGGGAGCACTCAACCACTGGCATAAGTACATCATAAAATAGACAAAGAGCTGTAATATGTACCAATGGAGCTTAGCATTTCCTGGGGTTATGGAGGAAGGCAGTACCTTAAGATGTGCAGATAGATGGCTGACAGGGTCTTTTCTGCAGAACTTCCCACCTTAGACCTCTCCTTGTTGCCTGTAACAACTCCAACCCACATTCGCAGATCAACTATATCTAGGCCACTAAATAAAAACAGCCTGAATTTGAAAGCTATGATGTGCTTGCAGCACCCAATCAAATACCTAAACATTAAGCCAGCTTTACCAGTGCAGTTGTTTCCACACTTCTGAAAGGCTTCTAGGTCCCAAACTGAATCACTGCCTCTGCAACCTAATACTATCTCAGTTTGGCTCCTTCTCCACCAGTCCTGTTCATCCACACAGAGCCATAGAGCCATAGGATGATTAAGCATGTGTAGAAGGGGTGTAGAAGCACAAAAGGGATTGCTGAATATGCTGTTTCTTCTCCAAAACACTGATAAGTACTTCAAACTGAGTGCAGCCTGCTTTTTGTTTAGTACTGAATGAGACAGGGGCTGCTAACTGATGTTTTTTGAGCTCCCCAGTTTCCACTCACCCTCTTGTTTCTGTAGGGGTTTATTATGGAAAAGACTTGTTCTCTCAGACTTTGAGGCGTCCTTGGTCCCATCCCAAGATAAATAGTTTCTGCTTGACAAAACTCACTAAAAGGTAGCAGAAAGGGGAAAGGGGAGACACCAAGCAGAGAGCTGCAGGTTTTGAGTTTTTCTTTTTAATTACACTTCTGTGATTTAGAATTACAAGTTAAGTACAAAGCTCCTGCAAAGCCAGCCTGCCTTTCCTCCTGCCTTTCCTGCAAGGGGCTGTCAGCTCTGCTGGGGCTGGACCTGCTGTCCCAGCCAGTCCTGGCTTAGGCTCCCAGAGGAGCAGAGCTTTCTGTCTGGAGAGTTGGCAGGCAGCTTGCCTGCTGCAAATGCATTTCTCTGCTGCTCTCCTTTGGTCCAAAGGAGCTGCAGAATTCTCCTCCTCTTATGTAATGGTCTGCTTGTGTCTTTGCTTGGAAAACCTCTTTTTCAGCTGGAGGGTGTCAGGAGCTGTGTCCTACCTCTCTTGGGTCACTGCTGAGAGAGCAGCTGGCCGAGTGAGATGTGCCAGGGTGTAGGGCAGCAGAAAGGAGCAGCTCCTCTCCCCTTCCTCCCCTTGTGTCCAGCATTTCCTGGGGTCTCCCTGTTCCTCTCAGGAGCATGGGGCATCTCCATCTGGGCGATGCCGGGCAGCAAATGGGGAAAAGGGGAAATTTGGGCTGGGAGCTTTGCCTGGAGCAGTGTGCACAGTGTGTACTCCCGCCCCCGAGAGCCACAGCACGGATGGGGCAGAGCCGAGTGCAGCAGGGGGATGCGGTGGGACAGCGGGATGAGAGCGGAGTGCAGCAGGGGGATGTGTTGGGATAGTGGGATGAGAGCAGGGC